ATAAATTTTTATCTTTCTAGTAGTCCTTAATTGTAAAGGGATGCCTGTAATTATGGAAGGGCACCTATACAGTGGAAAATTCTGAATGACAACACCCAGCGTAGGGATCAGAAGTGAACTCAGCAGAAACGTGACTGCTGAGCTGAGGAGAACAAAAGTTCCCTTTCGCCCGGAAAAATTCATAACTCAGATCTGTCATTAGTCAACCTAAGGGCCACAAAATAAGTGGCCTGTACTTTCCACTAATATCAAGATGATGAAAGACAAGGAAAGACTGAGAAAGCAGTTGAGATCAAGAGACTAAGGAGACAGGCTGACTAAATGTGATGAGGGCTCCTGAGATGGGCAAAAAAGAACATTTTCTCCCAAGCTTTATGGGACAATTGTAGACAGTTAAGGTCTATAGGCTAAATAATAATATTTTGATTTATTATATGTTAATATTCTGATTCTGTAATTTCAGTGTATTATAAGAAAACATCCTTGTTTTTAGAAAAATTCATCCTAGATTTTTTATAGATAGCACTGTAGCGCTGTCCTCCCGTTGTTCATTGATTTGCTCGAGTGGGCCCAGCAATGTCTCCGTTGTGAGACTTGTTGTTACTGTGTTTGGCATATTGAATACATCACAGGTTGCTTGCCAGGCTTTGCTGTGCGGGTGAGATACTCTTGGTAGCTTGCCAGGCTCTCCGAGGGGGCACAGGAATCGAACTCAGGTTGGCCAAGTTGGCCGCCTGTAAGGCAAACGCCCTACTGCTGTGCTATCACTCCAGCCCTTTAATGTTTTATAGGTATTAAATATAGTATTTGCAACTTAGAAAATGGTCAGGAGTTTAAAAAAAAGGCCATGAATATAGAGGAAGAAAGGAAAAAGAATCAATGTGGTAAAGGTTAATATTTAAGAAATCTTGCTATATGGGAAGTCCTAATTGTAGTTTCTGAAAGTCTTATTTCAAATTAGAATAATAAAACTATTAACAAACCATGGCTGAAGCCAAAGAGATAGTCAAGCTGGCAAGGCCTTAAAAAGCTGGGTCAGCCTTGAACAGGCCTGACCTGCGCTTAACCCTGGCAGCACAGGTTCCCCCAAGCACTGCCTGCAGTGGCCCCTGAGCTGAGAGCCACGAATAAGCCCTGAGCACAGCCAGGTGTGGCCCCCCAAAACAAAACAAGAAACCGAACAAAAACTCAAGCTGTGGTCACAGCCACACAATTTAGCTTAATTATAACTCCAATTTCTTATATGAAGATTTAAGTTAAGTAGTTTGGTTTTCTTTTAACAAAATCGTTGAGGACACACCTTGATGGTGCTCAGGTGCTACCCCTGGCAATGCTTGAGGGGCCCACATAGTACTGGGGGCCAAACTAGGACTCCCCCAAGCATAGCATGCACGCCAGCCCACTGAGCTCTCTCTAGCCCACTGCAGTTACCGAGTTAGCTAGGAACAAGTAACAGAATTAAGATTTATTTAAATCTAAAACCCATGCTTTCGCTACATCAACTTTTGCCTACTAAGTTATGAGAAATACTTTCTGAGCACTCGGGAATACTCTGTGATTTTTAAAATAAGTTAATGTATGGTAGAGGCCTCTTTCTACTTAAAACTACAGAACTCAAAAGCCTTATTTTTCTTCTAAGTAGCAATAAAACTTAAAAAAAAATACAAGTAAAATGCTATTAACATTTGGCTAGACACAAACAATTGCTGTGGTGCCATGGTTTTTCCTTTTTAGTTGCCAACCCTGCATTTTATCTTAATAATAAAAATCAAACTATGATTGACTGAGCAACTTTTAAAATACTGAGATGTTGGCACATGTAGAAATTCAAAACAGTTACCTTTGAAAACTCCATTTCAGGGCCAGAGAGGTAGTTCTCGGGGGTGAGGTGCTTGGGTCAGCACCATTTCTGACACCACACCGAGTTCCCCAGCACAACCAGTTCTGACCCAGGAGCACAGAGCCAGGAACTAAGTCCTGAGCAAAGTCAGTTGTGCCCCTCACCAAAACAAACAAAATACCCAATTTGGTTTTAAAATCAATGCAAAAATTCTTTTCATTTAAAAAATATTTTCCTATTTAAAAACCACAGCTACTATGAAGCACTCCAAATCTGATAATCAGCAGGTCTCTAGAACTTTAACACAACAGCAATATCCAGACATAACTGTCAGTATCAAAAATAAAAATGCTTTCAAAATTAAGCTGAAATTCTATTCAATAAAGACTTCTATCATTCCTTTTAATTTTCTTTAAATGTGGAACATCATTTACAAGTTATTTGGAAATGCGTATCAAGATATTAAAACAATATTTATCTCAGCAATGTCATCTCGACTGACTTATTCTAACGAAATAACACCAATACAGAATAAACTCTGGAGAGAGACGGTGGTTATGGAATTATTTCAGAGTGCAATGGTCAGTTAAATTTTAGTGCATCTACAGGATCGAGCATCTTCATAATGGGATTGCTTTTATAGCCTTGAAAATGTGCACTAGAAAAATATTTCCTCATATGAAATTATAAGAAACATAAACATGCACAGATGGTGATACACAGATGATTCTGTCATCTGCTGAGCATTTGATAAAATGATGTCGAACAATGGAGAGAAGACCTAAGAACTCCGGGGTCAGGAAGGTGGCTCTGCATTTTGCATCAGCAATTGTTTGTTGATAACTGCAGGGCTGCCCCTGCGTCCCCCCTCCACCATGTGCTGTGAGATCTCCACAATTATCCTTTAAAGTAAGGATGGACAAGGTTAACAAGCACAGTAGTGGACACATATCAGGGGTAGAGACAGCACCGAGATCTGCAGAACCATGAGCAGGTGACGTCACTGATCTTCCCAAACACAAGAAACAACAATGGGGTATGGGCGGAGGAGGTGAGGTTGGAGGGTAAGCTGATCATGCAGTGGTGACAAACCACACTACTACTTCCACAGAATAACAGATAAAGTTCTCTGCCGCACACTCTCTTCAGAATGAAAATAGGAAACAGTTGGGAGGATCTTGAGAATTTGCTGAGTTTCATGTCTGGAACAAGTTGGAGAAAATACAAGAAAGTAGCAACATACAAAAAAACTGAACACAGAAAGGATGTCTCAGACACAAACCTAGAAATCTCTGGTTATGAAACACACAACATTAAGTCTAAAACACATGAATTCGAGAAATCCACATTTGTCAGGAGATAGAAGCTTTTTGTCTTCATTTTTCTTTATTTTCAACAATAGCTTTTTAATAGAAAAAAATAAGACAAATTCTATCTATGCAGAGAAACTTGTATCTTGTACATTTCATTAATTAGCTACTGTCTAATGCTGTAAGTGAAAACAATTTCCAAGCATGAGCATTATAAAATGTAAGAATTTTATAATCTACCTAATATATACTCTTCTTTTAAAGAAGTCCACTGTTCAGGGCTGGAGCAATAGCACAGCGGGTAGGGCATTTGCCTTGCATGCAGCCAACCGGGGTTCGATTCCCAGCATCCCATATGGTCCCCTGAGCACCACCAGGAGTAATTCCTGAGTTCAGAGTCAGGAGTAACCCCTGTGCATTGCTGGGTGTGACCCAAAAAGCAAAGAAAAAAGAAAAAAAAAAGAAGTCCACTATTCCTTATCAGCAAAAAGTAAAATAAGTAACACAGCAGAAAAGATACAATAATATCTTCTATATTTTACCTGTAAACAAAGTTAAACTGTGAGAGACACACACACGAACCTTGGAACAGAGCGGCTCTTGGCAGAAATGTCTCTGGACTTTGCATTAGGCCACCTTTGCTTGGCCACCTCAGCTGGGAAAAGGTGTCATCCCTCTGTCTATTTCCCGGAAGCCCGGTGGCTGCCATCTCTTCCAGAGCTCACTGGAAAATCCAGGCATAGGCCAGCAGTGATGACACATGCTGGGCTTCATGGGAGCCTGTCCTTCTCTTCCCCTGCCCCGACAGGACCCTGAGATGCCGCCCACAAATGGCCCAGCCAGCTACTGACTAAGTTCCATAATGGCCATGGTCCCAGAGACACACAAATGAATCTCAGAACTGAGTGGCTCTTGGTAGAAATCTCTCCAGACCTAATTATTAAAATTTCAGAATTCCAAGATCACATGTGGCTGCTCTCAGGACTGCGCGGCATCATATGCTATTCACAACCAGCAACAGAAAGCAAATTGTCTAATGCTGCCTTTTCGGCAGGTCTGAGTGTTGGGGGAAAATTCCAAATAACAATGGTGGGACTGGTGTCAAAATGTTGAATGTAATCAATGTAGAAAGCGAGGGTAATGTGAAAATTATCTGCCAAACAGGCAAAGGTAGGAGTGGGATTTGGGGTATACCGGGGTTGCTGGTGGTGGAAAATGTGCACTGGTGAAGGGATGGGTGTTTCATCATAGTATGACTGAGACTCAAACATGGAAGCTTAGTAACTATTCTCACAGTGATTCAAAAAATAAATAAAAAAAGTTAGAACTGTGAAGGAAAACTATTCTTCTGACTCTGGTTCAAGCACTTCTTAAATTCTTCTGGTGGCATTCATTGAGTTGGTTTTTTTTTTTTTGTTTTTGCTTTTTTTATAATGAGAGGAGGTTATATTAATCTGGACATGTAAGGTACAAAGTGAGAAGCTTGAAACTAGTGAGTGTATAAATAACTAGTGTCTAAGATGAGCTTCAAGGTAGTTGCAGGTAGAGAAACAGTTCACTGAGAAAAGTCCAGTGTGAAGAAGTTTGGGTGACACAGTACAGGGGGAAGGCGCTTGCCCTGCATGCAGCAAACCCAGATTCTATCCCCAGTGCCCCTTATGGTCTCCTGAGCCAGGAGTGATCCTGAGCACAGAGCAGGAGTAAGCCCTGGGCACTACTGGATGTGGCCCCGAAAGAAAACCAGAACAGTAAGTGAGAAATGAAAAGGAGCTTTGGAAGGAAGAAGCCCGACTGCCTTGGAGCTAGAGAACAGGCAAGTCTGAGAGGGGAAGAAGAGACCCAGCACACACCTCCAGTCCACGTCCAGGTCTTCACTCACACTGGAGTCGTCCTCAAGGTTGTTGTTCCCGTCCAGCATGAAGGCTTCTGGCTGTGCAAACTCACTGGCAGGCTCGTTCCCCTCGTCACTGCTGCTCTCGTTCACTTCACTGTACTGCAGCCAGGGGATCTCCCCCTCCTCCAAGGATGTCTGTTCCCTGAAAAACATTCCAAGGGGAGAGAAACCATTATTTTAAAATACATCGTACTGTTCTTTAAAGAATTCTAGTAAGTGCAAGTAGAATCTTGAGTTCTTTCCACTTGAAAAAAATTGACTACGAACTTTTTCTAAAGGAAAGCAAGTTTAGTAAGGGTCACTAGCAAAGAGCAATAGTTCTTATTTCCATAAGAACCGACTTACTTGATTTATGAATCGTTTTTACTCCTCTGTTCTCTTTTGTCAGGACAAGGATTCACCTTAGATAATATAAATTAATTTTAAACGTAATAGCTTTCAACACGCTTAAACTAAAATCCAAATTCCTCAACCTGGCCTCTAAACAAACACAGGTAGCACATGCTTTCTCCGCGTCCACTTCCCAACTGCAGCTCTCGTGACTCTTTCTACTCCCAGAACACAGGAAGGTCATTTCCACCTTGGGGCCATTTCCTCTACCTGAAATATGCTTTTATCAGATCTCTGAAGACCTATTTCCCCTTTATATTCAGGTCAGGCTGAGTCCCTCCCTCTCAGGAGGGCTCTGGAAGCACTTCTTTTAATTACCTTACTAAAGGCCCTTGGCCTCCACCATCATTCCATACGGCTTCATTAAAATGTGTACATAATCTGCAACCCATCACTAAACCAACACACAGAAAAGTAAAAATGCCCAAAACTCGAACAAGAAATCAACTTGTTAAAATTATAGGACATGAAGCAGAAGGTAAACATTCTTAATAAAAAAAAAGTCTTAAAAGGCAAAAGTAGCCGCCCATGAGTGGCTCTCCAGCACAGTCATGGCCCCAGAGGCACAGACCTAATTTGCAACCCAGCAGCTTTTGGCAGAAATGTGAATGGACTATGCATTACGCTACAGCACTGTGCACCCCCCCCCCCCCCGCCCACCACCAAGGGAAAGGGTTCTGTCTCTTCCACTTTCCCCCCCACCCCCAGGCAGCACAGTGGCCGCCGCTTCAGAGCTTACCGCACAACCAGGTATGAGCCGGTGGACGAGCCGATGGTGATGGGGCAACTGTGGCCTCAGGGGATGGGGTGTGGAACCAGCATATCCTTTCTGCCCCACCCATCGAGAACAGGAGTTGCATCCCCCCCCCCCCTCAGCTGCTTTTGGCAGAAATCCCTCCAGACTTAATTAGTAAAATATCAGAAATCCAAAATCACACGGCCTTGTGGCTGTGCAACATCACATGGTCTTCATAACCAGCAATAGAAGACAAATTATTTCACGATGCCTTTTCTGCAGGTCTGATTGTTGGGGTAAAATTCCAAACAATAATAGTGCATCTTCTGTCGAAATAATGAATGTAATCAAAGTAGAGAGAGAGTTAAGTGGAAATCATCTGCCTCACAGGCATGCAGAGGGGTGGGATGGGGGTATATTGGGGTTCTTGGTTGGTGAAAAATGTGCACTGGTGAAGGGTTGGGTGTTTGACCATTGTATGACTGAGACTTAAACCTGAAAGCTTTGTAACTGTTCTCACGGTGATTCAATAAATAAAAAAAAAAAAATAAGGCAAAAGTATACCAATAAGAAAATTATGGATACATTTCAACAGAAAGAGAGCAAAGGACATAAGCAATTGGAAAACGAAAAATTCTAATGGATCTTAAATATATGAAAAGATGTTGCAGTTTACTTACAACAATATAGATTAACAGAGAAGTGAAATATTGGCAAAATGTTAAATCCTGGTAATCCAGTATTGGTGAAGCTTTGATAAAAGGTAATTCATATAGTTTTGATAAGAAAATAACTATACAATTTCTTTGTAAAGAAATTTGGCAATAACTATAGTATCTGTGCTTTCACTGAACTATTTCCACTTTTAGATATTTCTCCTAAAAATAAAAAAAAAAGAAAATGGAGTGCTTGGAGAGACAGCACAGCAGGTCAGCCTGGCATGTGGTCACTCAGGTTTGATCCCCAGCACCCCACATGGTCCCCTGAGCCTACCAGAGAGATCCCTGAGCACAGTACTAGGAGTAAGCCATGAGCACTGCTGGGTGTGGCCCCGAAACAAAGCAAGCCTGAAGTCTGCACATGATCATCTTTGCAGTGCTGCCCGAGAGTGAGAATGACAAGACCTCTAGACAGGCTTGGTGACGTACGTCACGACATTCCCAACTCGTTTCATTAATGTGGATGTTTAGAAGACTGAACTGATGTCCATGGACAGAGGGGTACGCAGGCTGCCCAACACACAGGTCATCAGCAGGCTCCAGTGCCGGAGGCCCAGCGGATTCCCCGACCCTGAATGAAACATCAGAGCCTGCCTGAGCCATTGCTCGGGAGAAGCAGGGCGACTTCCAGCAGGAGAGGGACACGCCACAGCTGGGAGAGACAGGTGTAGAGGCAGCCCTGGGCACCCTTCTGAAAGGTGGGAGTCACAACTCTGAAATCCTGTCCGCACCTAGGTCTTGACAGAGTCCCAGCCAGGGGACATGTCTCAGCGGCCCTGCAGTTCTGTTTGTCCTGGTCACTGAGGGATGCGTGCTCAGCCTGTCCACTGCTGACTGCAAGCAGCTCCCTCAGTCAGCAAGGTGTCCCCCTGCTCAGGGTGCCAACACACATGCCAGGGCAGCAGGGCACTGCCGACACCTAGCCATCTCGGCTGCTTCTCATGTGCTCTGGGAACTGGCACAGGGCTTGCCTGGCCCTCATGAACCCATGTTCTTGCTTGCTGCAGGACATCCCCAGATGCAAAGGTGCCCCTAGCACTCAGGTTCTCAGAGCCCTGATAGCCCAATAGGACTATCTGGACTTGGCACAGGCCTCGCCCTGGGTGGTATGGAGGCTGCTCAAACAGGGCACATGGAGGGGCACCTGTGACACGGCATACTGGCTACCCGGCCAAATACATCACATCACACCCGCTGCTACCAGGTGCCAGCACCACGACCTGGCTGCAGTGACAGCTCTTCGGGACTCAGGACTACAAACCCCACTGCTGACAGGCCTGAGACATCACAGCTACTGTCAGGTACCAACCATTGCAGACCTGGGACCTGTCCCAGCCTGCTAAGTCTCCAGGCTGCACTTTCAGAGGCCCGAGGGGCTGTCAATTTGGTGAGTCAGGCCCACACATGCTCAGAGCCACTACCACTACCACTCACTACCCAGAATTTGTACATGGATCTCTGGTCCCCATCTGGGTTGGCTGAAATCTGGCCCCTCAACCCTAACCTTCCGTGGCACCAAGCACATGAAGGAATGAGGACTCCATGGGCATCAACAGATAACGATATCAGTCTGGGCAAGGACTTGAAGAACTGCAGGGCTTGCGACCTCCCTGATAAAGACTTCCGAGCAACAATTCTAAGGACGTTCACCAAGTAAGGAGATCGATGGCAGAGAACTTCAGTAAGCTAAATGATGAGAAATCCAAATTTAGCCACAAGCTAAACACAGAAGCTGAACTTAGAAAACAATCACGGGCCAAGACCGTCAACAGCAGAATGAAAGAGGCTTGAAAAGGTAGAAGAAACCACCAATAAGGAAAAAAGGAAAGGGCTTGTTCAAAGGGCTGCAAGTGCAGTCCTGAGTTCAGCTTAAAACCTCATCTCCCCTCTACCCACTGGTCTCCAAGCGTCCCTAAAGCAATGCTGGGTATATCTGGGTGCTCCCTGAGCACTGGGAGCACCACACCAATGGTCTGAGCACCTAACCATCAGGCCTGCATAGCTGGGCCACAAAGAAATAGAAAAGTTACATATTAAAAACTGGAGAAAACCTAAGAAATTAACGTGACAGTACCAAGAGAAATAATATTAAAATACAGGGGTTCCAGAAGGAGAGAAAAGAGAGAAAGGGGAACTGAATAAACAGCCGAAAATTTCCACAGTCTGTCTTTGGATGGAGATATCCCAGATCCAAGAAGCTCAAGATACCAAACAGACAAATACCATAACACACTGCAATTAAAATGACAGGTGCAAAGACAGAAATAAAAACCAAAAAGCAATGAGAAAAGCAAAGGTTCCATGTAAGGGAAACTCACACAGACCTTTCAATTGAAATTCAACATGACACAGGAAATTGTTATGGAATACTCAGAGCACAGTGTGAAAAAATCTCCAGCCACCTGATTCTTCCTCAAAGGAAAAAAAAAATCTTTAATCAAAGAATACACTAGAGGGGCTGGAGCAATAGCACAGCGGGTAGGGCATTTGCCTTGCACGCGACTGACCCGGGTTCAATCCCCAGCATCCCATATGGTCCCCCAAGCACTGCCAGGAGTGACTCCTGAGTGCAGAGCCAGGAGTAACCACTATGCATCAGCTGGGTGAAAATTTGAGGGAGTGGTAATTTTTTTTTTTTTAACACAAGCATCACTTAAAGGAATAAATGGGAACTAATCTGACTCTGTTAAGAAATAAGATATAAAAAGGAAAGAAGCCCTACAGAGAAGCAGGAAGATAAATAAACATAAGACATGGTAAAGCCGAGTAATAATGGAGTGTCAGAGAATGAACAACTCAAGTCAGAATTGCTTTAAATTTAAAACGGGTTTTAAGTGTAGAACTCTAAATATAAACTTTAGGGGAACACTACAAGAAATAGTCTTTGTAAGTAGGATAGTCACATACAACAGAATAAAGCTACACCACTATGTCAGACAATGCACAAAGTTAAACTCCAAACGGATTAAACACTTGGATATTACTCATAAACAAATGGTACTATATCTAGCTAAAAAGTTTCTGCTGCAAAGAAAATTACTGCCAATACAGAAAAGAATCATACTCAGTAGGACAAAAAACATCCAAATCATCATGTCTAAGATATAAAATTGTCAAAAAAAAAATCCCATCAAAAAATGAAGAGAAGAGCTTAACAGACATTTCTCCAAAGAAGATATACAGACAGCCATCAGGCATATAAAAAAATGCTTATCATCACCAATTACCAGGAAAATACAAGTCAAAATGGCAATGAGAGAAAATTTCACACCAGTAATACTCGCCCATATCAAAAAG